GAACCACACTTTGAGAACTACCCCTCCAATGTTTCTAGAGAATGCCTTGGGCTGTTAATAAATTTGGAAGAAATAGTGCAGTAGAAATTGAACAAGACTTAAGAATACAGAATGTATTCCCTGAGCTAGGCACTGGCTATGAACTTTAATGTTTAATATATGATTGAATCCAGCACATTGTATGGATAAAGAAACGGAGGCCCAAGCCCCTGTTTGGCAACATTCATTCAACAAATACTATGCGTTACCCTATGTCAGAACCACAAGTTGCTGGGGGCTATGATGGTGAATTACCCAGACATGGCACCTGCTCATACTGGGACCTCAGATAAGGCACTTACTTTCTCCTCCCTTACTGGGGGCCTTACCTGTCCCCTTCTGTTGATATTTCCTCTTTTTTGGCTTTGAGAGAGAGAGAGAAGAAATGATAAATAAGATATAACCCGAATATTTTTTAATTCAATAAAATACCATGAAACATGACAATAGGTGGGGTCCTAGGTGGGCAGACCCTCTGGTCAGGCCAGGACTTGGTGTGATCTCTCTGTTATCAAGAGCATGCATCCACTGGGAACAAGCCCTTGATGTTCCTGACAAGTAGCTGCTGGTAGAGTGCGGATCCCACAAGCCAATAACTCATTTCCTTTTTCCCCCTTTCTCTCCCTGCCCTGGAGATTTATTGGGGGAAAAAAGGCATCATATCTAATGAGGTATCAAATGTTGATGTATTTTTCTTGTTTCCAATTTTCTTCTTTAGGGAATAGGGCCATGTAGAGATGTTTAGAAGTTTCGTCCACATAATGTCAAGCTACTTAATTTTTTAAAAAAACCTGAAAAGAAATTGGTATCTCTTCATGTGTTTTTCAAATATCCAGACATTTAACTTTGCATAAATAGTGTTACCTGAAAGTTTAAGTTAACTTTTTTCATTTTTTGCTTGTCTGATCTGAGGCAATCCAGTTATAAGTTTGGAAAAATTTCCAAAACTTATGGTTCAACATCTTAGTAAGATATGAAAATATTTGCCAATATATCTTTGTGATTTTGTGCAATCCTTATATTTTTATTTTAAAATAGTCGTATCTAGTAGTCCTAGAGTGAGTTACTTCCCAGAAAATAGGTAAGTAACTCTGGACTTCATTTTCTTAATTTGTGCATCAGACTTGATCACCTCCCTTTAGCTATAAAACCCTGTGACCCAACCCTACATCATGTAAATGTGATGCTGCCAGGATGCTTCCAAATTAAGTTCCCTCAGTGAATCTGTGTTTGGAAGAGTTAAAGCTCGGGACTCTTGCATTCTCCTGTTCTCTGCCCAGAGACTGTATCTTTTGTAATCTCTTATTGATTTGGTCCCTACTGTGTCCATCAAAACTACAGAAAGCAGGGTTTGTGAAGGAGACAGAAAATGAGCAGGGGCGTTTCTCAGACCATTGCTGTCAGTTTTGAACTGGAAGATGTCATGGTCTGTTACTCAGTGCTTAGTCTTGAGTGATGTTTCCTAATCTTTTAAAAAGTGTTTTAAAGTCCTGCATGCTACCATAATACCAATTTAGCATTTTTGCTTTCTTTAAGGAATTAAAGTGAATTTTTGTCTTGTGATTTGTTTTTAGTTTTGCCTTTCTGATATGATTCACTAAAAGTCCAGAATTAAGTATGATTTTAATACAGAAAATTAAATACAAATAGTAAAATGCAAGTAATTAAAACTATGAAAATAGTAAATATGTTTTTAAACTTGGCTTTTGAGGGAAATGCCTATCTTAAATTGAACACATGGGGCAAGATGGGGTGGTTCATGCCTGTAACCCCAGCACTTGGGGAGGCTGAAGCCAGGGAATCATTTGAGACTTAGCAATGCAAGACAAGCATAGGTAATCTAGCAAGACCCCATCTTTAAAAAAATATTAAAATAAATAGCCAGGCATGATGGCACATGCCTGTAATCCTGACTACTCAGAAGGCTGAGGCAGGAGGATCACTTAAGTCCGTGAGTTTGAGGTTTCAGTGAGCTCTGATTGCACCACTGTACTCCAGCCTGGGCAACAGAGCAAGACCTGGTCTCTTAAAGTATTGATGCTAATGGTAACAGATAGAACGCATAGAAAATTTAACACATGGAGATTTTCTTACACACTGTATTAGTCCATTTTCACACTGCTGGTAAAGACATACCCGAGACTGAGCAATTTACAAAGAGGTTTAACTGGACTTATAGTTTCACATGGCTGGAGAAGCCTCACATTTATGATGGAAGGCAAGGAGGAGAAAGTCATGTCTTACATGGATGGCAGCAGGCAAAGAGAGAGCTTGTGCAGGCAAACTCCCATTTTTAAAGCCATCAGATCTCATGAGTCTTATTCACTATCACGAGAACAGCATGGGAAAGACCTGCCCCCATGGTTCAATCACCTCCCACCAGGCCCCTCCCACAACATGTGGGAATTCAAGATGAGATTTGGGTGGGGACACAGCCAAACCATATGACACAGTGAAGAGACTGATAGCCAGTATGTCTGAAAATGTCCAATAAATCAAAGCAGAATCCTACCCAACAAATGTACCAACTTAGTAGACCATGTTTCTTAAAAAAAAACTACATATAAAAATTTTTTAAATATTTTATTGTATATGCTTCAAGCAGGCAACATGAAGTTTTCTTATATGTATACATAGTGAAATAGTTCCTATACTCAAGCAAATTAATATCCATCCTCTTGCATAGTTACCCTTTGTGTGTGTGACAGGAGTACCAAAAATCTTAATTTTCCAATATACAATATTATAATTATAGTTCTTGTTTTCTACTTTAGATTTCTAGTCTTATTCATCCTATGCATCTGCAACTTTTTGCCCTCTGTTCTACATTTCTCTATTTCCACCTCTCCATCGCATCCCTCATAAACAGTTTTATTCTCTATATATGTGACTTTTTTTAGATTTCACATGAGTGAAATCATGCAGTGTTTTTCTTTCTGTGCTTGGCTTATTTCATTTAGCATAATATCCTCCAGGTTTATCCATGTTATTGCAAATGGCAGGACCTCCTTTTTAAAGGCTGAATAATACTCCTGTGTGTGTGTACTGTACTTTCTTTATACATTCATCCGTGAACATTTAAGTCGTTTCCATATCTTGGTTGTTGTGAACAATGCTGGAGTGAATGTGGGACTGCATGTATCTCTATGAGGTGCTTATTTCATTTCTTTGGATGTATGTCCAGAAGAGGGATTGCCGAGTCATAAGGTAGTTCTATTTTTAATTTTTTGAGGAAACTCCATACCATTTTCTATAATAGCTGGACCAATTTACATTTCTATCCCAACAGTAAACAAGAATTGCCTTTTCTCCACACCCTTGCCAACACCTATCTTTTATCGTTTTGCTTAATATCCATCCTAACAGAAGTGAAGCGATATCTCAGTGTGGTCTTAATTTTGCATTTCCCTGATGATCAGTGACATTGAGCACTTTTTTTTTATACCCGTTAGCCATTTTTTATGTCTTCTTTAGGGAAATGTCTATTCAGGTCCTTTGCCCATGTTTTCATTAGGTTATTTGGGGTTGAGGGTGGTTGTGTTATTTTGTTTTGCTGTTTTGTGTAAGTTCCTTATATACTTTGGATCTTAACCCTTTATCAGATACATGTGGTTTGCAAATATTTTCTCTCAATGCATAGGCTGCCTTTTCATTTTGTTTATTGCTTTCTTTGCTGCACAGAAGCACTGTTTTTTGCAAAGTGTGGACATAAACCGTCCTTCATGCCATGAAGGGAGAAATAAACTTCCCTAAAGTTAATTATCACTGCAACTCAGAAAAGCTGTATTTTTGAGGTAGTAAATCCTAAAAACAAATCCTCATTCCAGCAGAGCTCATAATGGGACATCAAGAAGTATAATAGCTTGTTCTAAGAACACATGGTGTGAATAATGAGAGATATAAACAAAAAATTAGGATTACACACACATCCCTAAGGGACATACAAAGGGTTTGCCAAAGTCAAGACCTAGCCTGCCAAAAATTAAAGGAAACAACTGTGATGGAAAAATGTACAGAAGAAATAGAGGAAAAGGAATTTCCTGGGTTTTAGGCTGTGCTCTGATTGCATTTTACTTTCCTATTGCCAAGATTGCAGTTGTGCATAAGATAGTGTGGGTGAATGCTCAGTGGTTGATATATCAACAGTTCCCCATTCAAATATCCTCCCCATCTACTAAGTTATCTGATGTCTAAAATATCATTTATAGATATACAGTATGGCCTGGTGCAGTGGCTCCCACTTGTAATCCCAGCACTTTGGGAGGCTGAGGCAGGAGGATCACTTGAGCTCAAGAGTTCAAGACCAGCCTGGCAACATAGTGAGATCCCATTTTTACAAAATAATAATAGTAATAAGCTAGGTGCTGTGGCACGTGCTTGTAGTTCCAGCTACTACTAGGGAGGCAGAAGGAGGAGAATTGTTTCACTTGAGCCCAGGAGTTTGAAGTTTGAGGCTGCAGTGAGCTATTATCATGCTACTGCACTCCAGCCTGGGTAACGGAGTGAGACCCTGCCAAAAAAAAAAAAAAAAAGAGGAAGAAGAAAAAACAATATGCCTGTAAAAGGAATTAGTAATATACAAAGAATACAAATGTCTCTTAGGAAGGGGTAGTTTGCCTTTTTTCCTTAACAGCCTGATTTTAGGCTAATGTGATTGCCAGCTAAGAACATGTTTTGAATAAAGAAATTGAGAGCATTGCCTGTGAAAGTCTAGGATCTGGATGATTAAACAAACAAATAATAAGAGATCCTAGGTCAGCCAGGGACTCACTGAGAACATGGCATATTCTTAATCAGGAAGGAGGCCTGGAAGGAGAAGAGGACACTGAAAGACAAGAGATCGTGAAAGGAAACTTTATAATTTTACATTTTAAAAAACTTCCTATGGTGCATGTTGAAAGTAATAGGAACAGAGTGCTTGAAAAATTCATGATCTGAATGTTTTTTCTGTGTTGACAATCAGAATTGTTCACACAAAAGATGTCAGGAAAATTGATAAAATTTAGACGTTTTAAAAATAGAATTTATAAAATTATGCTAGATTTTTTAAAAATTCCTTTTTATGTCCTGCTAAATTAATTTGAACAATGCTATTAAATATTTTGTTGTGCAAACATGCTTTGCAACTTCAGAAACACACAATTTGTTGCAAATTATCATTTATGACACTTATTGGTGGCATTTTAAATCACTCCTGAGAATTAGCTATCTAGAAAGCTGTTGTATGCCTTTATCAAGTGGAGATTGAAAACTGATTTGCTTCCATAAACATTGGGAAAAAGATAACTTTCTAATTGTCTTCAAGCTCTTCAGAATTAAATAAATATTTTTGAACCCACATGAACAGAAATGAAGAAAATAGACTTTACAAACATAAAGTGAACTACAGATTATAAAATGAATGTTCAAAGAATTTTGAGTGTGACAGTTAAAGGTTTCAGCAGGGAGCAATTTTGTCCCTTAGGGAATATTTTGAATTGCCTGGAGATACTTTTGGTTGGTAGAACGGTATCTGCGGAGCACAAAATATTCCAAAAGTTTGTGAGAGCACTGTTGGAATCCGATGGGTAGAAGCCAAGAATACTGTTCAACATCCTAGAGTATACAGCCACCCATACAAAAAATAATCCAGCCTCAAATATCAATAGTGCCAAAGTTGAGAAATCTTAAGTTCTATATAGCCTTAGGACTCTGAAAAATCCTGTCGGATTATATATCGGCTCAAGGTGGCATGATCAGGGTATCCCAAAGGGGCATAAATTCTTTCGTGCCACTAGGCTGTTTCAAAATATTATGAGCAGGTAATATTATGATTCAACATGGAAAATAACTGAATAGAATTAATCCTAATTATACCCTTTCAAATGGGGAATACCATAATTGCTGGGGAACACAGCCTTAGAAATGTTACTTTTCTTTCTTTGAAAAAGAACATCCACATTTTAAAAGGAAGTTTCTCAAATAGTTGCATAAAGAGGAAAATTGGAAAAAAAATATTTTATTCTTTGTACTGAATTCCCATAGAGATTAAAAGAGAAGATCTACATCAATATGAGGCTCAAATACAATTTACTATTTAATTTTTTGCCACAAATATTTTCAAATAGCTTAGTTTCCTGTGTGTGTTGTTTGTGGTTTTCTAAAATCTCAATATCATAACTTACTACATTTTTTTACCATGTATAATAATGGAAATTTTCTATAGATTAATTTTTTAAAATTGGGAGTACTTGAATATAAAATTCCCGGAAGCATTTGCAATGCAACCTATACCTTCCAGAAATTCTGTTTATCAATCAGATGACTTGAGATGTATCCAAATATTGGGTTGTGATTTTTTTTCCTTCACGTCAATGACAATTTAGATCTTAAAGAATTATCTAGGGTTAATAAGAAAGAATTTTGAAGACTTATATTAGTTCCTGCTAGAGACACACAACTTTGGCTGGTGGGGAAGGGAGTGCAAGATTAGATTTTTAGTCTGCTACTTGATTATGCATTGAGGGATGTATTTTTGGACACTGCAAATGAGGTAAATTGTTTGTTCTTTGACTTTTTAGCTAAGAATGAAACCTTGGCATTACCTGCCAAATCTAAAACACCGGAGGTTGAAAAAATCTCAGCACGATCCACGACAGGTAATGAGATTGCTATGTTGTTGACCTTGAGAAAAGAAAAAAATGCTTTTTTTTCAAATACTAATCTGCAGCCTTTTTTTCAGTAAAGAGCCAGTAGGAAATTCATTTTGATCATAAATGCAAAACAGTAGGAGATTCCATGTCTCTAACGTTTGGGAAAACAACAGCTGCAAAATGAACTATTGAATCACATAACTGATAAGTAATACAGAAGCTGTACTTTTTACTCTAAATGAAAATTATTAGTTCAACACTGAAATATTTTTATATTAAAACATCATACCACAAGTTTGGTGCTGTCCTTGTGTATGATGACATGAGACCATTTTTCATTTCTACACTTTCACAAGGGGTCAGTGTAGCAAAATGCCATATATTCTTCACAAATCCATAGCTTAATATCTATGAAAATACTTGAATCATTTAGAAACAAATGTCTCTGGAACTTTAGCAATCCTAGTGTAGAGAATATAGAATAGTTCAGTAACAACCCTTTAAAGAATTAATGCAGTAAGCGTTTTCTCCATAGTTTATCACCATTACTAACATTCAGCATTTCTTCTATGAAAGAACTACTCAAGTCCAGTCTGGCAGCGGCAGGGGGTGGGGGGTGGCGGGGCATTAATCTTTCAGCTAGAGATTTTTCCAGAGTAGTACCACCTTATCCAGGACTTGATGAAACAGACATCTGGCAAGAATTCCCCACAATCTATATTTAGCAGAGTAACTCCAATCTGAAGTGAATTTTTCAGTCCACAAAATCCTATAACTTGAAATATTGATGATACACCTTTTACTAAACTTTTGGACTCATAACTGGTCCAGAGAAGATAAAAGTTGTTGTGGCAGTGAAATAACTTCAAGAAATCCATTGAAGTAGGAGTATTTCTGAGGGAGCAAGATGAATATGGTTCTTTCCTAAAGAAGACAGATGGACCTTTCATCCCCACCTTCATGGGATTTGGAGCAGAGGTAGCTCCTGGAGTGACCCATTTGGATGAAATTCCTAGATGGTTTCTGACTTCAGTATACGTGATCAATATCCAGAAAAGCATAGGCATGGCCCAGTGGGTGACTGCAAGTCCCTTTTTCCCTCAAAGATTCTACCCACTTTCCCCAATTATACTTTTTTCTCTTGGCAGCATTTCTTATGGGAGAGTCTACATTTTTTTAGTCCTCTGCCAAACCCTCCTCAGAGTTTTCCACTTCAGAAACACTTAGGAAAACACCACAACTTATTACTCAGGGTTATTGTGCTTATTTTGTGTTCTTGCCCTGCAACATTCTGGGGGTTTCTGGCTCTCAATTCATTTCAGATCCCAGTGATCTTAGTTCTTATTTCTCCAAAACTATTTAATTGAGCTTTTTATTACCTTTAATCTAGCATTTGGGACAAACCTGTGGCTGAGGATTTAAATTCTGATCCTAATTTCAATTCATTTTCAAGCTTTGCATGTTCATTGCAGTGTAAGAGTGAAGTCTTGTAATGGGATAGCTTTAAATAAGACTTTTAGCCCCAAGTCATCCTATTATTTGCCCATTTATTCATTTAATAAACTATTATCTTGATTATCCTTCAGATTCTTCAATAAATGATTAAAAAAAAATAAACTATTATCATGTGCTTGTTTACTATACCCCAGGTATTCTGCTAAGCCCTGGAGATAAAGAAAAAGGCAGATTTAAAATTATGATTAAGCTTATAAGTGCTTCAATGAAAGTCAGGTCAGAGTGCTTTTTTGGATAGAAAGCAAACCCAGAAAGGACCAGTTGGAGAGGAGTGTAAGCTCGGGCACTTGAGACAAGCCAAGGAGCTCTTTACATAGTAACACAAAAATAAATGGGCTGTACAAATATCAGTTTCTTATTCTAAAAGGCAACAAAATGTGTCTCCTGGTCTTTGGTTGCTTCACTTTATCTTAATTTGTAAAGTTGTGCTTTTTACCTTTCAGAGACTCCTGAAACAGTTCCCAGAACCACTAAACCCACTACATCTAGTGCATTAGATGTTTCAGGAACGACACTGGGTAATTCTAAGAACTTTTTTTTTTTTTAAAAAAAAAAAAAAAAAGAAAGAAATAACAAGAAAATAACACCCAGGACTCACAGGAAAGAAACCTGACGCCTTAACTTCTCTCTCCCTCCCCACTTTCTCCTTTTCCTTCCTTCCTGGCAGTGGTTAACCTTCCTATTTCTTGGACAGATTCCACTGAAGAGTTAACCACATGGCTGATCCTGGTGACTGAACTTCTGGGCAAATCTGGATGCTAATTGCTAACTGAACGCCCTTTTTAACCAGTCTCTGGGTTATATAGACAGAATACCAGCCTTTTAACCCCCAAATCTTGGGGGAGAATGAAGGAAACCTGGAAGTCTTTATTCTGTGCTTTCTGCTTAAATTGGCTTTGGGAAGTCTTGTGCATACTAAATTTGGGGTGAATCCCCAAAAGTGTCATGCTTTTAAATAAGAATTTCATGCCACCCATGTTTGATGTTTCTTAGCCCAAGAGAATCTAACTTGCTTTGTTGTTCTCTTTCCCCTGAAGAAAAGGAGCAGCATGTGTTTTGTTCTGTAATTTGATGTTGATCTTCTCTGCCACACCACTGCCCTTTGAATGTATACCTTCACATTTTAACAGCTATGTAACTTTACCAGGGAAAGTTGTAATTTCCATTAAAGGTATTGGCTGCTCTGTGTACAAGAGTGTGTTACAAAGCTTGCTGTGCATGATCGTGGTTAAGCCACAACATCAAAACCCAAGTCCAGGAGTTGCTAACTGCCATCTTTTTGTATTGTAGTTGTCAGCAAAAGGACCCCGGAAACATTGCAAACTATTCTAATACCTCAGTTTGAATTGCCACTGAGCACTCTAGGTAAAAATTGATAAATACTGCAGCTTTATTATTACCTTGGATATTGTATGCATGCTTCAAAGAAGTCCTGGGAATTAATTACGCTAATTTATACCCAATCCCTTAAAGGTGACACAGTCTTCAAGTTTAGGATCCCAAAGAGGCTCTCCCTATGACGAATCGTTCCGGTTGGGTTGTTTTTCTTTTAAGTGATCATATTTTAATATTATGTTTGATTCTTTTAATTCAGAATCAATATGTCACTGAACAAATTGATAATTTCTGTATTTTTTGTAAATGTTTTTACTCTCTTGTCACTCTTAACAGAGAAGATATATTTATGATATTTCTGCAGACTACTTCTTAGAATTCTTAGAATTTTTCTGAGTGAAGTATGAAAAAAAATGAGAGTGGGGTGCAGTGGCTCACGCCTATAATCCCAACACTTTGGGAGGCTGAGACGGGTGGATTGCCTGAGATCAGTAATTCGAGACCACCCTGGCCAACATGGTGAAACCCCGTCTCTACTAAAAATATAAAAATTAGCCTGGCATGGTGGCACGCATCTGTAATCCCAGCTACTCAGGAGGCTGAGACAGGAGAATCGCTTGAACCTGGGAGGTGGAGGTTGCAGTGAGCCAAGATCATGCCATGCACTGCAACCTGGGTGACAGAGCGAGACTCCGTCTCAAAAAAAAAAAAAGATGGGGGAGGAGCTTACATATAAAGCCACGTAGTTACCGAAATTCTATTTTTAAAAGCTTTCAAATGGACATTTTCTAGTTCAGATGTGTTGGCTTGATTTAAATGTAAATGAAATATATTTAAGAACACACATAAACATCACTGAAGAAGTCAGGAAACTGGTTTAATAAGGGTGGAAGAAAGATTCCAAATGCAGTAGCTTAAATTTAGTCACTTAACTATAAAAAACTGAAAAAGAAACTTTTTTACATTATTCAACATTGAAACGGAGATGTAAGAAATACTACTAATGGTCTCTTAACATGATTTGCCTTTTCGTGTTTGCTGTTGTTTTTCAAGCTTAACATTTTAAAAATCTTTGTTACTTGCATCTCAGGTCGTCTAACTTTCCTTCTGTGTTTCATTACAGCTCCAAAAAGGCTTCCAGAATTTCCTGAGGCAAAAACACCCTTCCCTTTTGAGAAACCTGGGGGCACATGGGGTAATAAGGGCACCTTAAATTAAATATGAAGGCTGTGGGTGGTGATTGCTTAATTCTGCAGGACACATGTACTGCATCTTATTTCTACAAACCTCATGAACTGATAGGCAAACAAGTGGTTGATTTGATTTTTGTTTTTAAATAAATCTATTTGTTTGGATTTTCGACAAATTCAGTAAAATCCATCAGTCTTAATTCCACATAATCCACTTAGCTTTTTGTCCTTAAAAATGTTGACAGTCTGACACCAAACTCTGCTCTTTCTCTGACCACTAATCAAATGTTCTCTGGATGGATACGTACTGATTTCTTACTGATATATAATGACTTTTTATTGTATTAGTATATTGTAGGCTTCTGGTAGCCACTTAACCGTACCAGCAACCTATTTCTGTCTTGTTCTCCTCAAAAAAACAAAAAAATCTTCAGCAAATTCCATTTCTTTTCAATATAGCTTCAAGTGAAAAGCCATGGATTGTGCCTACAGCTAAAATATCAGAAGATTCCAAAGTTCTGCAGCCTCAAACTGGTAATTAAATCCTTTTCTTAAAAAATCAATTATAACAAGGAGTATTGAGCAACTTATTGTTTTTATTTTTATGGGTTCCTTAATTGATTATCAGTGTGCTTTGTAATAAATGAAAAACCTGTAATATATTTGTTGATACTGAGATGAATCTCATTTTTCCCCATTACAAAAGCAAAACGGTTTTGAATGTTTTAAAGATACCTGTTCTAATTTCTGGATATAATATCTTAGAAATGTGGCCAGAACATGAACTACGAACTGGCTCATTAATAGAGATCTCTTTAGTGACATGAAAGCAGCACCAAAATAAGAAGCATCAGCGTGGGTCTAATTTAACAATAGGAGTTTCATATTATCTTGCAGGGAATATTTGCTGCTTTTGGGCAAAATAAATAAACATTTAAGAGCTTACTCAGTGAAGATAGTATACTAAGTTCTCAAATTTGTAAGTACAGCATGATATGTAGGAGAGACCACAGGCCCTTGCGGTTAATCATAGACCTTGGTTCCAGGCCTCACTCTCCTAATAACCATGTGATGGCTACTTTTCTCTACTTTCGCAAGGCACTGGTTTCCTCTTCTGCAAACTGTAGCAATTGGCTTTATTTTTCCTGTTGAGAATTCTTGTGTTCCACCGCTAAAATTGATTGAGATGTGTTTCTTTTACAAAAAATATTTTTCTCTTTTAAAAAATTCTGTACATCTTTTGATGCCTAGCAGTCAACTAAAGAATGTATTCAGCGTATAAGAATTATAAGAAGACCTCAGAAACCATCCTTTGTGATTACTTCCATGATTTTTGCATTTTGCTTGTTTGTATTTTAATTTTTGAAAATCTTCTAGTTGTTTTGACTTTATTTGGGGTACATATCATATAGTGTATAATGAAGTTGGATGTTTCATGTAATGAACTTAAATGCAGCAGCATTTTGTGGTGTTCTCCAGAGTCCAGCAGAGGACTGGGTTTGAGAAAGGATGAGCATGAGCCCTCATAGATCTTGGTGAAGTTATCATTTCTCTAGTATATGTAATGGGCTCAGATATTAGCAAAAGATAGAAGATGAGGTCAAATTAAGGGACTATGTCTATTATAGTCGCCCCTAGTTTCCTTAAGTGGGAACACACTTGAAAGTTGGCCATGGTTGTTCGCTTATCCAGAGAATCCTCAAGCTGTATCTAAGTCTTGGTTTTCCTAGTCACTGACTTTAAAATTCTAGTGCAATTAACTAAGGTGGGTGCCAAAACCCCTTTAGGAATCCAGGTCACCTGGGTCTAAAATCTGGGTTTTGAGTTGAATTTCATACTGAGCCTCTGGTTCCAGTAGCCATCACCCAGGTGCAGCTGCATTGTAATTATGATGCAACAACTAGTCTAGGGGCGTATGTGATGGTTTAACCTGCTGCACTGTGACAGCCCTGGCTGTGACTCCCACATCCCTCAAGAGCACCTGAGCCAAGTGCCTTTGGGGATTTGGGGACTAGATAAACTTTTAGATCCTTTTCATCTTTTAGCTTTTGGGTTAGAATATGGGGAACATGGGATTCTTTTGGGTTTTCTTTTAAGCAACATCTAGTGTTTGGTTTCTATGAATATTCAAGAGCAAACTAATCAAAACATCAAGGAAACCATTTTTGAGACTTTAATGCCTGGCATATGAATTATGTAGAAAGACTTGAGTTGAACCAAGCATTGGGGAGTGGGGAGAATATGTTGGGACGTGAAGGTTGCAGAGTTACAATGAGACGAAAATAGATGATATAGGAAATGCCAATAAAGGAAAGGTTTCTTTTGCCTTTAATTCAAAAAAGGCATATTCTGGTTGTGCCCTGATGGAGTATGAGCAGCGGCTAATGCAGCAGGAAACTGACTCTTTATTCAGCTGCTTCACTACTGCCAGGGCAACCTTTGGTTGCCAGAGAACTTCCAACGAGAACTCCCAACGAGAACTCCCAACCCTCTCTAGACAAAGAATTGAGACTTGTCATAAACTGTAATAACAGTACAGTATGTGATTGCACGTATTAACATTAGCCCTAGAAACTTCCCATCATGCCTTATAACAGTTAATTTTTATGTCTTTGCTACTTAGCGTGATCCTCAGTCCAACAGCATTTGGCATCACCCAGGAACTTGTTGAAAAGGCAGAACGTGGGCTCCACTCTAGATCTATTGAAACAAGATCTGCTTTCCAACAAGATGCCCAGGCGATATGAACATTAACATTTTTGTTTTTGTTTTTTGAGATGGAGTTTGCCCTTGTCACCCAGGCTGGAGTGCAATGGTGCGATCTCGGCTCACTGCAACCTTTGCCTCCTGGGTTCAAACAATTCTCCTGCCTCAGCCTGCTGAGTAGCTGAGATTACAGGCACCTGCCACCATGCCTGGCTAATTTTTGTATTGAACATTAAAGTTTGAGAAGCACTACCTTATCGATGTAGTCTATAACGTTTTTACATGGTGCCGGTAAGAATCGTCGGGTGTAGTCAGTTATAGCACCATGGACCTCAGATCGATACAAGATCGATTTTTCAAAGTGGGTAGTTAAGTATCTCTTGTTTCTGCTAATGTGCAACGCTTCCATTTCTAGTGTGAGTGTTCTGTGGCATCTTCCTAACTTATGTTAACTTTCAAATTAAAATTTCATAACACATGTATTATCTGTGATTTAAAGAGTGGTATATTTATATAGGCCTTTTATTTCAGCCTTTGTTTCTTTTGATTTTGTGCAAATTTACATATGTACTCACATTCTATTTCCCATTTAGTTTCAACATACATAACAGGTATTTTATTTTCCAATTACTCACACAGCTTCCTAAAGCAACTATTTTGAGAACTGAGAAAACAGGTAGAGATAGTGTTTAAATGGTGGTCCGCAAGATCCCAATTTTAGTTGCAGTATCTTTTGAAGGAACACTGTATAGGTTGGTGCAAACATAATTGCAGTTTTTGCCATCACTTCTAATGGTTTTGCCATTACTTTTAATGGCAAAAACCACAATTACATTTGTACCAACCTAATATTTTTAGCTGATATTAATGACATTATTACAGCCAAATGAGCACATTCTGT